AACAGACACAGAACATTCCATCCAACAGCAGTAGACTATACATCCTTCTCCAATACACATGGAGCATTCTCCAGGATAGATTATATAATAAGTCACAAAACAAATCTTAGCAAATTTGAGAAGATTGAGATCTTACCAAGTAGCTTTTCTGACCACAGTGGTAGAAATCAGTAACAGGAGGAAAACTAGAAAATTCACAAATACATGGAAATTAAACAACACACTCCTAAACAGTGAATGAGTCAAAGAAGAAATAAAAAATGTCATGAAACAAATGTAAAAGGAAACACAACATATCAAAACTTGTGGGATGCAGCAAAAACAGTGTGAAGAGGGACATTTATAGTGATAAATGCCTACAGTAAGAGAAAAGAAAGATCCCAAATAATCTAACTTTACACCACCAGGAACTAGAAAAAGAAGAACAAACTAAGCCCAAACTTAGCAGAAAGAAGGAAATAACAATGATCAGAGCAGAAATAAGTTATTCAGAGACCAGACAAAAAACAAAGAAAAGAGCAACAAAACTAAGAGCTAGTTTTTTAAAAAGATGGACAAAATTGATAAACTTTTAGCTAGACTAAGAAAAACACAGAAATTCAAATAAATAAAATTAGAAATGAAAAAGGAGACATTAAAATTGATACCACAGAAATACAAACGTTCATAAGAGATTATTGTGAATAATTATAAATGAATACATTGGATAACCTAGAAGAAATGGATAAATTCTTTAAAATTACACCAACAAAGACTGAATCATGAAGAAATAAAAAATATAAGCAGACCAGTAATGGGTAAGGAGATTGAATCAATAATCAAAAACCTATTAATATAAAAAAGCTCAAGACCAGATGGTTTTGCTGCTGAATTCTACCAATATTTAAAAGAGAAGTAACGTCAATCCTTTTTAAACACATCCAAAAAATTCAAGAGGAGGGAAAACATCCAAACTCATGTTATGAGGTCAGCATTATCCTAATGCCAAAGCCAGATAAGGACACTACGAGAAAAGAAAACTACAAGCCAATATCCTTCATAAATATAGATGCAACATTTCTCAACCAAGTATTAGCAAACTGAGTTCAACAGTACATTAAAAGATTGATCCACCAAGATCAAGTGAGATTTATCCCTGGGATGCAAGGATGGTTCAACATTCACAAATCAATAAATATGATACATCACATTAACAGAAAGAAGAAAGATAAAATTCATATGATCATTTCAATAGATGCAGAAAAAGCACTTGACAAAATAAAACATCGATTCATGATTAAAAACTCTCAACAAATTAGGTAGAGAAGGAACGTACCTGAACATAATAAAAGGCAAATATGACAAGACCACAACTAACATCATATACAACAATGAAAGGTTGAAAACTTATCCTCTAAGGTCAGATGCAAGACAAGGGTGCTCACTCTCATCACTTCTATTCCACACAGTACTAAAAGTCCTACTCAGAGGAATTAGGGGGGAAAGAAGGAATAAAAGACATCCAAATCAGAAAGGAAGAAATAAAATTGTCTGTTTTTTCCAAATGATGTGATCTTATATACAGAAACTCCTAAAGACTCCAATAAAAAACTGTGAGAACTAATCAATAAGTTCAGTAAAGTTGCAGGAAACAAAATCAACATACAGAAATTAATTGTGTTTCTATACACTAACAATGAAATATCTGAAAAAAAATAAAGAAAATACCATTCACAATAGCATCAAAATCAATAAACACATAGGAATAAGTTTAATGAAAGAAGTGAAAGACGTACACTGAAAACTATAAGACTTTGATGAAAGAAATTGAAGAAGACATAAATAAATGGAAAGATATCTCATGTTTGTGGATCAGAAGAATTAATATTGTTAAAATGTCCACAATACCCAAAGCTATCTATAGATTTAATGTCGTCCCTATCAAAATTCCAATAGCATTTCCTACAGAAATAGAGAAAGCAATCCCAAAATTTGTATGGAACTGTAAGAGACCTTGAATATTAAAAATACTACTGACATAAAAGAAGAAATCCGGAAGTATCACCCTTCAAACTATATTACAAATCTATATTAATCAAAACAGTCCTAGGGTAAAAACAGACATATAGACCAATGAAAAAGAATCAAGATCCCAGAAATAAATCCTCATACATATGGTTAACTAATATTTGAAAAGAGAGTTAAGAGTACTCAATGGGAAAAGTATAGTCTCTTCAATAAGTGTTTTTTGGAAAACTTGGAGGAGAATGAAATTGAACCCCTATCTTATACTACCACAAAAATTAATTCAAAATTGATTAAATACTTAAACATAAGACCTGAAACTGTAAAACTCCTAAAAGAAAACATAAAGAAAAAGCTCCTTGACCTTGGTCTTGACAACAAATTTTGGATATGACACCAAAAGCACAAGCAATGAAAGTAAAAATCAATAAGTAGAACTACATCAAACTAAAAAGCTCCTGCGCAGGAAAAGAAAAAATTGACAAAATGAAAAGGCAACCTACAGAATGGGAGAAAATATTTGCGAACCATATATCTGATGGGGGTTAATATCCAAGATATATAAGGAACTCATATAACTCAATGGCAAAAAACCAATCTAATGAAAAAATTATCAGAAGAATTGATTAGACATTTTTCCAAAGATATACAAATGGCCAACAGGTACACAAAAGGCACTCAACATCACTAATCATCAGGGAAGAGTAAATCAAAACCAGGACAAAATATCACCTCACACTGTTTAGAATGGCTATTATCAAAAAGACAAAAGAAAGCGTTGGCAAGAATGTGGAGAAAAGGGAACTCTTGTGCACTGTTGGTGGGAATGTGACTTGGTGTAGCCATTGTATAAAACAACATGGAGATTTCTGAAACAGTTACAAATAAAAGTACCCTATGATCCAGCAATCCCACTTCTGAGTACATATCCAAAGAAAATGAAATCAGAATCTCAAAGAGATAGCTGCACTCCCATGTTCACTGCATTATTATTCACAATAGCCAAGACCTGGAAACAACCTAAATGTCCATGTATGGGTGAATGGATAAAGATGATACGATACATATAATGGAATATTATTCAGCAATAAGGAAAAGGAAATCTTGCCATTTTAAACAACATGGATGAAACTTGAGAGTATTTTGCTAAGTGAAATAAATCAGATGGAGAAAAACAAATACTGTATGATATCACTTACCTGTAGAATCTAAAAAAGCAGAATTCATAAAAACAGAGCAGAATGTGGTTGCCTGGCATTAGGAGGTTGGGTAAATGGGGATGTCAGTCAAAGAGTACAAATTTCCAGTTATATGTTGAGTAAGTTCTGGGGCCTAATGTACAGCATGGTGACTGTAGTTAACAATACTCTATTATATACTTGAAAATACAAGAAAGTAGATTTGAAATGTTCTCACGCAACAGGAAGTGGTAATTATGGGAGGTGATGGAAATGTTAACTAATTCTGCTATGGTAATAATTTCTCAATAGATAAGTGTATCAAGTTTAAAAAAATAAAAGAAAATTTGAATGCATTCTTTATATAAAATTATTGTCATCAATCTGTCAATTATGCTTGTAGCCAATGTTTTCCCCCATCTCTTAATAGATCCAGAGACTCTCAGACAGGAAAGACCTAAGAATCAAGTCATACCCACTTATTCTACAGACTAGGATGCTGACATTAGGGAAATGTGATAATCCAGGTGGCATATTAAAAGTCATACATGGTTCATCTTATAGAAGCCTTGTCAAAAGCCTAGTTGAATTTTAGTATTTGCATATGCACAAATAGAAATGTAGCTGTGAAATTGAAACCAAATTAGCAGTCAGTGGTGGCTAAAGATTTCATAGCAGGTGCAGCCGGTAAATTTATCATCTCACATTCCAAACGATGCAACAAGTGTAATATCCTCAACTATATTCAATCAACACATCTTAATACAAATGAATGCAAATACTCAATATGAAAGGTCAAGGTTAATACCAGGAAATCAGTAGCATGACTGCTGTTAAAACAAGTGACAATAATAGCAGCCAATCATAATAGAGATAAGGCCTGACTTATTTGTCTTGGTTGATTTGTTTCATTGTTTAAAATGTGACCCAGCCTTTCCCATTAGTGCCTATTCATGTGATCTTTCAGCTGCAGGGTTGTATCATAGGCCCCAAACAGTATTTAGAAAAGAGGTTCCAAATTACTAACTCAGCATACGTAAATCAGAGCACGAATTAGCATCTCAGTTAATTCACTTACAAATAATGATTTAGAAAAGACACCAGAAAATGAGAGAGAGTTCTGTGTACTGATTTCATGTACAGATGTAGCATCTTTACAGATTCTAAGCTCTTCCTTAGAGAGATCACATAATATCTTACTGTATGCACAGTTTTAGAGTTGGACATATATTAAGTTATTTAATCCTCATAATGACTCCTTGAGACAGGGATAGTAATTACCTCTGTTTTACAGATATGAAACCTGAGGCACAGAAAAATAGTTCAAGGTCACTATTCACTGAACTCCACAGAAGTATTATAGATTGACTAAACACTTTTAATATGATTAGAATTTACTATGTTGCTCTTAAAATTATTTGTTTATTCACTTACCAAATATATGTTAAGCCTCTGGTATGTCCAGGTACAGTTCTGGAGCCAATATGCAGCCATTAAAAAAAGGGAAAAACAGATGAGATTTATATCCTCACAGTCTTACTACCAAGGGCAGGGAGACAATAAAAAAAAAGATCTTCTTCTTTAGTCTTGAAGAAGTTCTTGAAGAACTAAATGGAATAAAGTAATGGAACAAAGAGTGGTGAGTGGAATAATTTACTTTAGATGAAGTGGTCCAGAAAGCCCTCTCTGATGAAGCAACATTTTAGTTGATACATCAGTGATAATAAACAGCCAGCCACACAAAAATACAAGGGAAAAACATTTTACATAGACTATAAAGCAAGTGAAAGCTTTCTTATTTGAACATGAATCTGACAGTATCAAAGGACAAAAAGAAGCAAAGAGACTGGAATGGACAAAAAAGAAGATGAGGTTGGAGAAGCAGATGGAGGCCAGATTCTGGAGGACCACATAGGCCAAGGTAAGGATTTCTAATTACAATAGGCAAGCAGTAGAGAACTTTAAAAATTTGTATGATATTCACATGATCTTATTTACATTTTGAAAGATGATTTGGCTTGCTTTGTAGAGAATGGACTTTAGGAGAAATGGACAAAAATAAAAGCAAGAAGACTAGTAGAGAGGGTATTACAATAGTCCAGATAAAAGATCTTAAGATTTGTCAGTGATGGAAATGTTCAAACTGCTTTGTTATTGTTAGGAATCCTTCCTGCTCATAAGGCTGGTTCCAGCCTCCTGTTTCTATCAGTCATTCTTGAGGGTTCTGGTCTAAACTTGAAGGCCCATGAGGACCCAACATCATGGCCTTAATTAAAGAATTTATATTGCTATGATTCTACTACCTTCTTCTACCACCAACATTAACTACAAATATTCCATATGGATTCTTGTCTACTTGACAACATAGTCTGGGTTAATGACCATATCCTTGTTCTGAAAAATCTACAGTTGAGGCAGTTCACCAATATGGAACCAATAATCTCAGATTCTTCTGCATTCTTACAGCCCTAATGGCAGAGCTCCTGGCATGTCACATCTGTTTATGCGATGATTCTAAATCTGTAAGAAGAAAAGTAGAGTACCTAGACTCAGGGAGGTGATAATTCTGCTATATTCCTTATATGTCTCACTTCTCATGGAATATTCCATTCCTGATACCATAAAAGTAGTTTTTCTTGGGGTACAGATACATGAGAGAATATTCAGAAAAGAGTAAGTAGGATGGTATGGAAACTGGAATCTGCCACTTGAGGAAACATTGAAGGAAATATGATTCTTTAGCTGAGAGAATATTATACATTACTAAGAATTAAATAGTCTTTAAATATTGGTGGGATCTCAGGAACTCTGTATGTGTTTAAGAATGTGTAAGTGTACCTGGGAGATAGATTTTATTTCAATGTGAGAAATTACTTTTTGATCAAAGATTGAATGGGCTCCTTAAAGGATGTTTATTTTTTTGCATGCCCAGGAAAATCTTCTCTTAAACTTTCAATAATAGCATCTTGTTGATATTTATGGCGGGAAAAACCATTCTAAGAACATTTGGTTTGAATAAGTATGAAACATAACTCATCTCCATCTAAAGGCTTCAGAGATGTGTATGGTACCTATGGATTTCTGATCAATGAGAGTATCCTTCCTTCCAAATGACAGTGATTCATTCAGAGATGGGCATAGTACCCTTGCTATGAAAAGAAGACTCAATTCCAGGACAGTTATTTGAACTGAGCTCTCTTTCCTCTAGAGTTGTTGAGCTGGGAAGACAGAAGCTTAGAACTGCCAAAGGCCACAATGTGAAGAGAGATTTGTTTGAGAATGAAGCTAACACTGAAGAAAGAAGAGTGATTCAAAGTGTGGAGGAGAGTATGTTATATGAGTCATTAAACTCCCAATTTACTTAAGCCATTTTGAATTGGATTTTTTATTAATGGAAACCTGACCAATACAGGACAGTGCCTGTATGTAATAGATATAGAATAAATATATTCAATTTGCTTCTTTCCAAAAGATTGTGTTATATTCAAGAAAACAAGACTAGCTTACATGAAATAATAAAAAATATGATGGTGCAGTATATAATTACATTCTACCAATAACTGTGTGAGTGAGGTTGGAAGAAGATCCTCCCCAATCAAGGCTTCAGATGAGAACACAGCCTTGGCTGATACTTGGATTGCAAACTGTGCTTGCATTCCTGATCCATAAAAACTTTGCTGTAACAAAAGTCTGTTGTTTAGGTCATTAGGTTGTCATGTTATGCAGCAATAAATAACTAATACAGTTACTATCATCACCACGGATAAGAGCTGCTCATGAGGGAAACCACATTCCAGGAATGCCTTCTGGAGTGTAGGGATTTTGAAAGATAGATAAGTTTGGAATAGGCATAAGAGATGAGTGGAGGGTGTGAGATCATTTAAGGTAACAGAATAATATGGGCTGAAGCATCAAAAACAGAATAGTGAATATTTGGGAAGCATTGAGATAAGCCCAAATAGGATTGAGATGGGAGGTTTGTAGTAAGTTTGATTAGACGAAGAGAAATATTAAGGTCACTAAAGTTCAGGCTTTTCCCCACTAGACTTATTAGATATGTGATAGCATGATAAGATTCTGCCTTAATTCCCTCTTTCCAAACTGCCTACAATCATGCCTATTAGACAATATTCAATCAAAGACATTTGAATGAAAATAGGATGACTTTCTAGCCATCAAGAATCTCTGGAAGATTTTAAACTCGGAAGAGGCATGATGAAAACATTGTTTATAGAAAATTATTTGAGTGGATATCTGTACCATGAAATACAGAGAGAAGAAACTGCTGTCATGGAGGCCAGCTCTAATCCATGTGGACATGTAAACCCTGATTGACGGGAGAGTAGTAGGGATGGAAGATACCCAAAGACAAAGAAAAGGTCCCCCAGAAAGCCACAGGTAACCAGGCTGTGCCTAGAATGACAGAACCTTAGAAATGTAAATACACGGAATTGGTTGATTGATCTATCATTTCTTCTACTTCTATCCCTAGGAAGTAACTAACCTACGAATTCTCTACCGATCATATCTTCAACTACTGTCCATCTGTGTAAATACTGCCCATCTGTAGGTAAAACAGCTATAAATCTACAAGGACAGGAGGCTGTTAGAGGTAGATAGGGTCAGAGGCCAAGAGCAGTAGTTGAAGAGAGAAAAGAAATCATGCAAATGAATTCCAAGCATTCATGTTTCCTATTTTTCAAGTTATAGACATTCTATTTGATTCTTGAAATATATAAAATTAAGCTTCATAAATCTAATGGAAAAAGTGAGATAAATCACAGTTACTATATCTGAGAATCAGTCTACTATTTTTTTTTTTTTTTTGGATTAGGACAGTGCTAAGTTCTGAGTAAACTAAAAATAAATTCAAAACAAATACATACACACACACACACAACCTCTGCTCTAATGAACTTTACAACCTAACTGGGTTTAAAAAATAAAAATGCATAACTAGCCATATAAAAGAGTAATGAAGAGCCATTCAATGACAGAGACACTCTTAAAATGTAGCACAAAATAATGAGAGTGATTTACCTGTGTCAATATTTAATGGAATATTGATTTATATGTAGAAACCCTGCCTATTAACATATTAAAATAGCATTTAAATATTTGAGAAACTTTTTCTAAGTCAGCCACTTTTGTTTCTCATCTGTTTCTTGTTTGTAATTTTATTGTTTGCCATCTGCCTTCTCGCTCTGTTTTGTTACTAAAAGCTATCTTGACATTCTGTAAAAAATGAATGAATTATTATGTAAATATAATAAAAACCATATGGAAAATAATTGATAGCAATGTGACAATGAAAAAGAAATTACTTGTTCTACAAGAAAGTAAACTGTCTATGTGATAGTCTTGAGAAAGTCTGTATCAAATAACATTTGGGATTTATGCCTATGTGAGAGGTCATTGAGGTGAGAGAACAATCAGGCTGTTTCAGTTGGTACCATATTTTTTTCAAGTAAATTTCTCATTCTAATACAACATGCTTACAGAAAAGTCCATAAATCATAAGTGTAGAGCTCAATGAATTTTTATAAACTGAATTCAGCTCTGCAGCCAAAAGCCAGATCAAATACCAGAATATTGCCAGCACCCCGTAAAGGCCCCTAATAGCCTCTAAGGCACTTCTGCCCTTCTAAAGGATAAACACTCTACTTATTTCTCAAATAAACAACATATGCTTATGTTATAAACTGTAATTAAATGTTTATTTAAATGCTTTTAATTTTCATCCATGTTATGTGAAGTTGCAGCCATTCATTCTCATTTATATAACTGTATTACACTGAATGAATATATTAATATACTGAATGTATTTATTCATTTGACTCTAGATAGGCATTTGGGTTGATTTCCAGAATCAGGCTATTACAAATGGTGCTGGTATGAACCAATTGCTATCAAATAAAGAATATATATATTTATACATGTAATTGGACCAATTATTTGCACTGTGTAAAATTCTTTAGATGAATGATTTCATGTTGTTTTTAATAAAACAGGATGTGCTAGCTGCTTTTAATATCCTCATTTTTGAACTGTAGGAACTGAGGTTTGGAAAGGTTCAGTAATTTGCCCAAAATGACATGGCTAGTAAGTAAGGGGGTGGGATTCATAATTCAACAAATAAAACCTCTACTGCATGCCAAAACTTCTTGTAGAAGCAGGACCAAACAAAACAAAATCATAACAAAGCAAATCGTAATTCCTGTGAACCATTTTAGTTGGTTTCGGGGGAGCAGATAAAAAATGTCATATGTTAGTTGGTGAGGTGACAAGTGTAAAGAGGAAGATTAAGGCAGGAATGGAAATAAGGAGTTAGAGGAGTTGATTGTGGAAGATATGGTCCACAGAAGACTTTGATGAGAAGAGTGATGTTTGAATCAAAAATCAGGAGAACTTGTGTTCAGTTTGCCAATATTTTGTTGAGAATTTTTGCATCTCTGTTCATCAGTGATATTGGCCAGTAATTTTCCTTCTTTGTATTTTCCTTGTTTGGTTTTCATATCAGGGTGATGTTGGCCTCATAGAATGAGTTAGGAATTGATCCATCTTCTTTAACTTCTTGGAATAGTTTGAAAAGGATAGGTATTAAATCTTCTTTGAATGTTTGGCAGAATTCTCCAAAGATGCCATCTGGTTCTAGACTTTTGTTTTTTCGGAGGTTTTTGATTACTGTTTCAAACTCTTTACTTGTTATTGTTCTATTCAGATTCTCTATTCCTTCTTGATTCAGTTTTAAGAGGTTGTATGAGTCTAAGAATGTATCCATTTTTTCTAGGTAATCCAATTTGTTGGCATACAGTTTTTCATAGTATTTCCTTATAGTCCTTTGTATTTCTGTGGTATCCATTGTAAGTTTTCCTCTTTCATTTCTAATTTTATTTATCTGAGCCAGTCTCTTCTTTTCTGAGTGAGTCTGGCTAAGGGTTTTCCAACTTTGTTTATCTTCTCAAAGAAACAGCACTTAGTTTCATTGATCCTTTCCACTGTTTTTTTAGTCTCTATTTTATTTATTTCTGCTCTAATTTTTATTATTTCCCTCCTTCTGCTGACTTCGGGTTTTGTTTGTTCTTCTTTTTCTAGTTCTGTTAAGTACAGTTTAAGATTACCTATTGGAGATTTTTCTTATTTGTTAAGGTAGGCCTATATTGCTATGAATTTCCCTCTTAGAACCACTTTTATTGGATCCCAGAAGAGTTGCTATGATGTATTTTCATTTTCATTTGTCTCCAGGTATTTTTTATTTCTCCTTTGTTTTCTTCATTGATTAAATGTTTATTCAATAGCATGTAGTTTAGTCTCAAAATATTTGTGACTTTCCCAGCTTTTTTCATGTAGTTGACTTCTAGTTTCATAGCACGGTGGTCAGAAAAGATGCTTGAGGTGATGTCAATCTTCTTAAATTTATTGAGGCTTGCCTTGTTTCCCAACATATGGTCTATCTGTGAAAATGTTCCATGAGCACTTGACAAGAATGTGTATTCTCTTGTTTTTGGATGGAATGTTCTATACATATCTATTAAGTCCATCTGATCAAGTGTTTCATTTAAATCCTCTATTTCCTTGTTGATTTTCTGTCTGGATGATCTATCCATTGATGTAAGTGGGGTGTTGAGGTCCCTTACTATTATTGTGTTTCTGTTAGTTTCTCCCTTTACGTCTGTTAATAGTTGCTTTATATACTTTGGTGCTCCTGTGTTAGGTGCACATGTATTCATAAGTGTTATGTCCCCTTGGTGGAATGTCCCTTTTACGATTATATACTGCCCCACCTTCTCTCTCATTGCCTTTTTTATCTTAAAGCCTGTTTTGTCTGATATAAGTATGGCAAAACCTACTTTCTTTTGCTTGCTGTTTTCTTGGAGTATTGTCTTCCATCCCTTCAATCTGAGCTTACATTTGTCTTTAGAGGTGAGATGTGTTTCCTTGAGGCAGAAAATTGTTTGGTCTTCTTTTTTAATCAATCCAGCCACTCTGTCTTTTGATTGGAGAATTCAATTCATTTATATTGAGAGTGATTGTTGATACGTGAGGGCTAAATAGTACCATTTTATCTCTTGTTTTCCAATTGTTATATATTTCCCTTGTTTCTCTTCCCTTGTATTTCTGACTGCCATTTAGTTTGGTGGTTTTCTATGATGGTTTTCTCAGTTTTCTCTTCATTTACAATTTGTGTCTCTTTTCTAATTTTTGTTTATTAGTTACTGTGTGGTTTGTATAAAAGATCTCATAGATGAGCTAGTCCATTTTCTGATAGCCTTTTATCTCTGTTAACCTAAGCAGGTTCCACTTCTTTCCCCTTCCTCTTCTAAGTTATTGTTGTTACAAATTATTCTGTTTTGTGTTGTGAGTTTGTGATTAAAATAAAGTGTTTATAGTTATTTTGGTGGTTTTCTTCTCTTTATCTTTTACTTTAAAATTGTTTGATAACCTCTTCTGACAAAGATCTTCAATTTTCTGATTTTGTCTATCTATTTATCTCCTCACTCAAGGCTTTGTAAACCTTTGCCTTTTTGTTTCAGGTATGAGGGCATCCTTGATCCTTTCTTGTAAGGGAGGTCTAGTGGTGATGAAGTCACTCAGCTTTTCTGTATCTGGGAAAGCTTTTATTTCTCCATCATATATGAGGGATAGTTTCACTTGATAGAGTATTTTTGGCTAAAGGTTTTTGTTATTCAGTATTTTGAATATATCATTCCAATCTTTGCTAGCCTGTTAGTTTTCTTCTGAGAAATCTGCTGAAAGACTGACAG